TTCGTGACTGTAAGAAGCTTAGTCTCTGGACCAACATGTGCAAGTTCACTACCAACGCTGACCTTGGCCCTCCTTTAGAGAATGTTGAAGGTGTCTTCTCTGATCAAGGCTGGTACGCTACTAATCAGTTCGCTGTCGACGTCATCTTCAGCAACCGTATGAAGCAGTACAAATGCTTGACCAATGACTCTTCCCTCGCCGCCGCCATTTCCGTGCCCTTCTACGCTGGTTTCGACGTTGCTAGGTACCTCTGGGGGTACAACATCTCCACCAGGGACGCTGCTTCTCTTGAGTTGGTGATTGGCTCATGGATCGGCCTGAGTGGGATATCATGAAAGGGAAAGATCATTTCCTAGTGGCTGGTAGGATCACTTGGGATTTCAGGAGAATGTCTGGAGAGGAAACTGATTGGGGGAACAAGATTCTCTTCTTACCAGCTGCCAAGAACATGTCTATGCTTGTGGTTGAGTCTAGTCCATGGAACGCTAACAATTTTGGGATCCCTTACCCGACCTACTTCCATCCAGCGAAGGACTCGGAGGTGTTTGAGTGGCAAGAGCGGATGAGAAGCCTTGAGAGGAAGTGGCTCTTCTCCTTTGCAGGAGCTCCACGACCAGACAACCCCAAATCTATAAGAGGGCAGATCATTGATCAATGCAGAAACTCAAAAGTTGGGAAGCTGTTGGAGTGTGACTTCGGGGAGAGCAAATGCCACGCACCGAGTAGCATTATGCAAATGTTTCAAGGCTCTCTCTTCTGTCTGCAGCCTCAGGGAGACTCTTACACCAGAAGATCTGCTTTTGACTCGATGCTTGCGGGTTGCATACCTGTCTTCTTTCACCCTGGATCAGCCTACACTCAATACACGTGGCATCTACCTAAAAACTTCACGACCTACTCTGTTTTCATCCCCGAGGATGATATACGGAAGAGAAACGTGAGCATCGAGGAACGGCTCCTGCAGATACCACCAGAGCAGGTCAAGGTCATGAGAGAGAACGTCATAAACCTCATCCCGGGACTGATCTACGCTGACCCGAGGTCAGAGCTGGAGACACTGAAGGATGCATTTGATGTGTCTGTACAGGCCATAATAGACAAGGTGACTCGGTTGAGGAAGAACATGATCGAGGGTCGAACCGAGTATGACAACTTCGTGGAGGAGAATAGCTGGAAGTATGCGTTGCTGGAGGAAGGCCAACGGGAAGCTGGGGGCCACGTGTGGGACCCGTTCTTCTCTAAACCGAAGCCCGGAGAAGATAGTAGCAGCGACAGCAATGGAGGTACGACCATTTCGGCTGATGCAGCTAAGAATTCATGGAAGAGTGAACAGAGAGATAAGACACAATGAGAAAGAACCCACCAAATTTTGCTTACATATAAATATTGGTTATTTTTTGTTATACGGACAGAAAAATTATATATTTTTGTTGTATTGGTGTCAAAAATGTAGCTTCTCCATGTTCTTACAAAAGTTTGTATCAGCTAAACCCACTGAGAGTAATAATGAGCAGAGACCCTTTTCGAGTTTAGCTGAATTAAGTGCTATGTTTATTTTGCAAGATTTTACCAACTATGGAACTTTTAAGAGATCGTGGAAACAAAATATATCAATAAACATAATACCCTGATTGTTTAATCAATGTCTTCGATATTTGTTATGAGAAAATGATAGTTTTTTTCGTCATATATTCAAATAGAATATGGTAATCATTCACAATTACGCCGTTGTAGAATCCTTGGTGAAGCCTTTGAGGACTTTCAAAGAATCTGATTTATGAAAAACCTTTGCCAGGAGCTCCACAAAGCTTTGCGCACTTGTACGCAGCATTTTTTATCTTCTTAGCTCTTCTCTGGTTCATAGTCCAAAGGGGGACGAAAGTCAGAGATTTCGATTCTCAAGGTTTGTTGGGGTCCATCGTCTGAAGGGACGTGGACAAGTGCTTCCATTATCAGAATATCCCAGTCCCTTTGCTGGAGAAACCCGAACAAGCTATCTTCTGTTCCAAGAAACCCAAAGAACAGCAATAAAGAAATCCATTAAATGAGAAAATGGCAAATGTAGATATATATATAACAGACATTTTTAAAATTGTAACACTATCACTTGCAAACATTTTGTATAGCATCATAACATTTTAACATGCAAGTTTTGGGAGGAGACTGGTGCGTTAGAAAATTTTACCTCCACTGCAAACAACTTTGAGATGCAAGACACTGTGCGTCTTTGCTGAGAAACGGCTAGTGATGCATTGTACCATGGCCATTTCTGAATAGGATCTCCAATGGCTTTGATCATAACCTTATTCTTCATCACCTACTCCATGGCCTTGCTGCAAAGTTAAGCATACAAAAGACATGTTTTGAGAAACCACCAATGCAACTACCATTCTTGAAACTAATGTCATGTTATTGATTTGATGATACAACGAGAAGTGTTTTCACGCAGAGCGATCATCGTGAGGGGCAGTGTAATATCAATAACCAGAGATTGAAGTGAGATCATATAAGGAGATATGATTAGAAGTTTGGTCGAAGAAATTTGAAGAATGGTCGAGTGGAACCAAAAGTGGTCGAAGGAGATCTCAGAGATGGTCAATAGAGATTATCGGTAACGGTCGAAAGGTAATGAAGACTATTATGAATATAGTAGTTTGAGATCAACCTAGTAACCTTTCCTAAGGTATATGGAGGAAATATATGTAGTTTAATCAAGGGAAAACTAAGATGGTTTAGAGGAATACAATTTTGGTAATCGGTTAATCGGATGAAACGAAAGCCAAATGAAGATGTGCAAGCTTATGATATAGATTTAAAAGAGTGTTTTAGACAAGATATAGATTGAATATTGAGATCAATTTTTGTGTAGAAAAGTGAACAAATATCAAGAATAGTCAACAGTTCAAACTGTGCCACATGGCACCTTCCGATCCAATGGTTGAGAACTAGCCACGTGGAAGAGTCAAGTTCTTTCAACTTATGGAAGGATGTGGAATAAATAAAGAGGTTTATGGTGAATAAATGAAGTGCTAAAACCCCAAGAACTGCTTGGAGACATCAAGATCCTTTTTGTCTTCAAAATGAGAAGATTTTCACATGAAAGTGAGATGGGTGAAGATGGTTTTTCAGCATGAACCACACAACATCTAAGCCTTGTATAGAACCCATATGTATTATTGGATCAGGATGGAACAGTATTTGGAAGGCTAAAGTGGAATGGGTTATTTATTTACCTTAAAGGTCCAAAATTACCTTTGTGGTCGAAGAAGGAAACGTGATGGTAACATGTCATGCTGGAAGATGGGCATGCATAGGTGCATTCAAGACATGTTTACATCTACACTGAACAAGGAGAACAAGCCTAGGACGTATGTTTACTACATGTTATACATGAAGGTGATTTGTTTTCTAAAAATAGCTGATGTGGTAAAGTAACTTGGAGAGCAAGTTTAGAGCTGAATTTTCGTACACTGAACCTAGTGAAGAGTGTGACTTTGCTTCTAGAAAATGGAACTGGGTTATCATCACTTTCCACTATTGCATGCAAGAAAGCATTTTATGGTGACACTTGGATAAGCACTTGTCAAGGGATTTGCATGCAATATGTGGCTATAAATAATATCCTTAGGATTAGTTTTTGAGAGTTTAGAAACCCAGAGCTTTCTCTTTTAAGTCGTTCTTGCTGTTAATTTTTGAGAGAGAAAGTAACCAAAAATCAAAAATATTTGCTAAGTTTGTGAGGTGAGTGTTAGGAGTCTGGTGATAGCTGATCCTTAGACTAGGATTCGTGGTGTTGGGGTAGATTGGGTGGTGAGGTTTTGGTTTCGCGTTTGAGAGTGTTTTAAACCCATCAACAATCAAATCCTTAAAATTTCCGAATAGATTTTAGGTGATAAAATTATTGTAAGGATTATCTTTTATATGCTTACAGTATATTTATTTCAAAAATTACACTCAATTATTTTGATAACATGACTGTCATAAATTTCATAATAAGTATATATATATATAATAGTAAACCTCCTACGAAATCATCATTTTTTATAGGAAAAAAACTGAATTCAATGGTCATAATTCACTTGATTTTAAGATTTAATGGATACAAAACACTTTCTGCAATGAGTGTTGATGTTATCAAATTTTTGACAACTCTTCTTTTAAAAGGCATGTATTTCAAAGAACATATCTTTTTAAAAACCACAATGATACCCTTTCATCATTAAACAATTATTTTTACCTTAAACAATTATTTCTTTTGAAACAACACATCATTTAATCGAAGAGTTACAAACTGATGGTTCTAACTGTTATTTTTTTCCATCTAATGATTCCAAAAAATCTGTATGACATATAACACTTTTGCCGTAACAGTTAGTTTTTTTTTTAAAACAACACATCTCTTTAAATAAAACAGTCTTATTTTTTTTTCATATTTGAAAAGTAACAATCTGATGGTTCTAATTTTTTTTTCATTTAATGGTCCTTAAAAATATTTTTACACATAAAATATTTTTGTTGTGAGCAGTTATTTTTCTGAAACAACACATCTCTTTAATAGTAAGATTCATATTTTTCCATAATTCTTGTGTTTAAAAAATAAAAGATTTGAAGAGTTTCAATCCAGTGATTCTAATTGCTATGTTTTTCATCTAATGGTCCTAAAAATATTTTTTGTGTTGAACATTTTTTTCGTCGCAACTCTTCTTTGAAAATATTCTTTCTAAAAAAAACATACCTTTTGATCATCAGTCAATGTATTTTTAAATAACACGTTATTTTGTTTGGAACAAGTAATAAAAGTCAGTCATTTGGTAGCAAGAGATGTCATCAAGGGATGCTATCAAGGGATGCTATCACAGGGTGTCATCCAAAGGGTGTGATCGTGCGATCATATCGTGATCCAAGTGCATCGTGATCCAAGGAATGCGAGTGCATCGTGATCCAAGAGGTACGAACGTGTCGTGACCCAAGAGGTATGAATGTGTAGTGATCCAAGAGGTATGAATGTGTTGTGACCCAAGAGGTGCGAACGTGTCGAGACCAAAAGGGTGCAAACGTGTAAGGACCGAAAGGGTGCGAACATGTAGGAACTGAAAGGGTGTCAACATGTCGGGACCCAAAGGGTGCAAACGTGTCAGGACCAAAAGGGTACGAACAGTTCGGGACCAAAAGGGTGCGAAAGTGTCGGGACCGAAAGGGTATAAACATGTCGAGACCGAAAGAGTGCAAACGTGTCAAAACCAAAAAGGTGCGAACGTGTCGGGACCGAAAGGGTGTGAACGGTTCAGGAGAAAGGGTGTGAAAGGTTCGGGACCGAAAGGGTGCAAACAATTCA